CCCCAAAACCCCAAAACCCCAAAACCCCAAAACCCCTATTATTAATAATTTTATTGGAATTTTAAGAATAAATACCATGTTGAGAGAGCCAAACCCTGATTTTGAAATTTTGGGAACCAATGCAGCCAAAGTGCCGAGGAGAACCCAAGAGCAACAGATTAGTGCAAAGAACATTGATCCATTAAGAGGAAGTAAGGAGTATCCACAGCCAGACAACTCTTTTAACCAGTCTTATGTGGAACCTCAGTCAAGAAAATCTATTGTCAATAACAGTTATAGTATATAAATTCTCCTAATTCCTTTAGATCAAGCTTTGGAAGATTCTCCATCAAGAGGAAACGAGACTAACTATGTTCAGTCTTTCAACATGATAGACATCAACCAGTCGACTGATTATAACGACTATGATACTCTTTGTAAAATATTTCTTATAATATTTCAGCTCCGGATAGTCAGGCAAGACATACCTCCTTGTTTGGGCAGAAGTATCCATTTAGTACTAGAAACCAGGCTAATAATGTCTCTAAAATTTCAAGAAAGAACCTGTTTAACCCTGGTGCAACGATCAGCCTTGAACAGAGCTTTAAGCAAAGAGATGATATAATCCAAAAAATTTAAAGAAGAGAATAAAGTAAATTTCAGATTAATTTGTAGAAGCATTCTTCTAATTTAATCGATCCTCCCTCAATTAAAAGGAATGAAGGGAAAGTTCCCAAGCTAGCTACTCATAAGCCACAGGGATCTTCTAGGGTTGTACTATCCAAATATTTGAATAGTATGAACTCTGCTGATTACTTTCCAAAAGAAAAGAACCTCAAGACTGATTATAGGCTGTCCCCTCAGAGTAAAATTTCATGTAAATTTTAGACAAACTTCCTCAGATCAGGGCTTTCTTGAATCCGAACTTTAAAAGACCTCAGAAGAGGTATCTTTAATTCATAACTCTAGGACTAAAAGTAAGACGCAATGTCAGTCTGTATGGAGCTGATACCGAAAGAGTCCAGTGGCTTCCAACTCTAGAAGTCGTGATACTGAAATCATAGGTGGGAACAACCTGTATTCCATTCAGAAGAAGGTAATAGATGACAGATCTGGTACAAATATTTATGTAAAGGAGAACCAGTCAATTCCTGATAAGATTAATAAAGCAATTATGCCTTTGATCCAGTCTCTTCAGCAGGCTAATGATAAGACCCATGATCAGGCTCAGCCTTCGATCTCATTAAAAACATTAAAGCCTGATGCAAGACTTTGAGGGATTAAAAGGTATATTTTAGTCCTAACCCTTAGGTACACAAAGGCAGAATTAAGGAAGAAAAGAGGCAAAATGGGTAAAAACAGAGCCAAAACTATCGAGCGTTTCCAAGTCCCCAAATTCTCAACAACTGGGTCTGAAAGACAGCACAAGAATGGCTTCAAGATTGATTTTGAACACTGGTATAGAGTAATGGGACTTACTGAAGATAAAGTCAGTCCTAAAGAAAAGAGAAAAAGAGAGTTCCTCAAGTTCCTCAGTGGCCTGAATGAACTTGAAACCAGACTTTACTGGAAATCTAAATCAAAGGTACCTCATTTGTCTAAATCTTTAGGAAATCGAAGAAACTTATAGCCTTGAAAATATACAGAAGATTGCTGATGAGAAATGGAGGAAGGTCAAACCCACTTGGAGGAACACTGCAGCTGCAGACAAGATTCATTTCTTTGCAATGGTGGACCAGGAGCAAGAGAAAGCTGTCTAATTCTCAATATTTTCAACGAAACTATTATAAAATGGGGTTTTGGGGTTTTGGGGTTTTGGGG